ATGCACATATATATATATATATATTTAGTTCGCAGTACATAACTATAACACATCATCTTTGGACAGAAGTGAAATATTATGTATTTAAGGCGAGTGTCATGTAAATATCTATTTAAGGATATGTACTAAATGACAATGCTTAATAAGACTTGAAATAATTTTTACAAATATTACACATCACCTTTGGGCAGAAGTGTACTCTAAGATATTATTCAAGTCAAGCAAAAATAAATCAATTTAACTAATCATAAAATAAATTTTATTTAAATTAGTCAAATGATTTATAAATAAATAATTAATTAATCGCAAAAGTTAAAGGGGCGGGGCTATGAAAATTTTGGGGACCCATTAAGATTAATTTAATTAGAAAATCAAAAGGCATATAAGGCAAGAGATTTTCCAACAAGTAAATTTTTTTTAAATGGTATTTTAGCATATCCCTTACTTAGTTTTGCTATTCTGAGTAAAATAAATTAATAAATAAGGAAACAGAATATATTATGCAAAAGTGAGATATGTCATACAATTTAAGGAAATACAATTATATTCCAAATCGAATACCAAAATAAGATGATTTCATCAAAATAAGGATGAACACATGAATAATTTATTTAGATTCATAGTTACTGGAATCAAAACACAAAACAATTTTTTTTTGAACGTATGGATTACAAATTTAAGCACCAAGAAGAATCAGACCACTATCGGATTTGCAAGAAAATTAGGTGGAACTCCACAATAAATTTACCAAATTGATGCTTAATCATAATTGGAATTCAGAAACATAAGCCAATTACTTTTTAAGAGTCAACTGACTGCTTTTAGTGTGGAAACAAGATCGTTAGGTTTAGGGGAAAAAAATTTCCGATCCGATTTCCTATCCGTCTAAGAAAAACTGATTTTGATTTTAATTCCAGTTTTTTTCTTTTGGATCTTAAGACGGAATTGATTAATCAACATTTAGCTCCGATACCACATGTTGATCAATTCTTAAACATAAAAGATATAAATCAGGAATTAAATCATGTGTACCTGATAATCCTGTAAACGTAGTTAGGGATGAGGCCATGATACTGATGAAGATCGAGTTCCCGTTTAGGGTGTATTGTTATGATGGCTAAGGTGAGAATGACTCACGAGAATAGAGAGGCAGAGAGGAGGCGTAAGATTGGTGTGTTGATCTCTGCCTAATGACCTCTATTTATATACACTCAAGGGGAAACCCTAATTAGGTCATAAGGGTAATTACATCTATCGAATAATTACCAAATAAATACGTAGGGTATTTATTAGGTCAATGATCAATTAATTAGATAAATGATAACTCAGGCCACATAATAAAAATGTGTCCAACATAAGAATATAGAATGAATTCACAGCATATGTTCTTCTTATTTCAATACACCAAAAATGATATCTTTAAATACAACAAAGTACAATAGAGAGACAATTAAGGAATGTGGGTGGAAGCGAATCAAATATCTTTGATTGGTTATTTGATTCCAATCAAGGATATGATTCCAACGTAATAATCAAACAATATATTTGATTAATCACAATCAAATATATTTTATTGTTTGATATTTCTAACACTCCCCTCAAGTTGAATCATCCGTTTCAGATGTTCAATTTTGTAATAAATAAATAATAATTAGTTTTAATATTAATTTTGAATATTAACAATAAAAATTTAGAAAAAGAAAATAATACTTCGTAATAAATAATAATAATAATAATGCATAGTCATAATAAGAATGATGATATTCTTTTTTGAAAACCAAAAAAAAATGATGATGATGATCATAATAATAATAATAATAATAATAATAATAATAATAATAATAATAATAATAATAATAATAATAATAATAGGAGAAGAAGAAGAAATAAAGGAGAGGGGTAGGGGGGTCTGGAAGATCGGAAGTGGAAGGAGGAGGAGGAGGAGGTGGTGGTGGAGGAGGAGGTGGAAAGAAGAAGAAGAAGGAGGAGGAGGAGGAGGAGGAGGTGGTGGTGGTGGACTGATGATGATGATGATAATGATGATATTGACAGAGAAATTTGGTTAGATGGAGAATGGATGGAAAATCTCCTCTTGGTTTATTTTTTTTATAATTCAAGGTACCTGGGAGTATATTTTCAAAATTAAGAGTACCTGGCAGTTCTTACTACAAAACATGGGGTACCTGGCAGCAATTTTTTGTATGATTTCAGTGGAAAGGTAACCTAGGGTTTGAGAAAAAACACTCTCACTTACATCGTGCCATTGTTTTTTTAAGGAAAATGCTAGAGTCACAAACATATACTTCACAAACTTCCTTTTTGTGGATTTTAAATTAAAATATCTTTTATTATTTGAGTGCATCTTATCTCTAGAAAAGTACTAAAAAGGTAAGTTTGTGAATTTTGTGAACTGTTTGTTTGTGACTCTAGCATTACTCTTTTTTTTAATAGAAATCGGCATGGAAACCATTTTAGGCCCGAGAGGCCTTGAAAGGGCTCATATCATTCATGGTGTTCTTGACATCATTATCAGTAAATGGTTTGTTTAGCAAGGAAATATCATCACCATTTAACATAGCTGATTACCAAATCCATAGTTCTAGTTTTGTCATGTGCCACATCACCGTCGTTTGCAATAATAGCAATGTTCTAATTTCTCAGATAAGAATAATTACATAAAACATTTGTGTAAATTTAGGGCACTCTTCCATGATATTTGTCATCAACCTCCACGACCGGCCTTTGCTTTAACCTCAAAAAAAGACGACACTGAGCTCTGTTCGTCTTGGTTAACAGACTTTGATGGGTTAACAGACTTTGATGCTGGAAGAAACTCGAAAGATGTTGAAAAAATTGAATGAATTAGAAAAAATTGAAAGGAGTGGAAGAAACTCGAAGGAGTTGGAAAAATTAGAAGGAACTAGAAAAATTAGACGGAGGTGGAAAAAAATAAAAAAGAGTTGAAAAGATAAAATTTCAAAATAATTAGTACGTTTTTTTTATAAATTTCATATTTTATATTTAAACTTATTTATACTATACTTTTAAATTTTTTTAACTCTCTTTTTTATGCCATTATATTTTATTTTAAATCACATTAGTAATTTTGTGTGACTCACACTCTTATTTTCTTTACATTTTAGAATTAATATCAATAATATATTTCTTTTTGTTTTTGAATCTGTATCTCACTAATTCATGTGACAAAAATAAAGAAACTGATGACTTAGTTGAAAGAAAAACTCAGTATAAATAATATAATGATATCTCGACCAAACAAAGTTTCATTATCATTTTTTATTAAGAAAAATTTACTATTCTAAATTTTACTCCCTCCGTACCAAAGTGATATTTGCTATTCGAACGACGCGCAAAATCCCGTGATTTAAAAAAATTATTTTATTAACAAATTGGATAGAAATAAACAATAAAACTTAGATATTTAAAAAAACTACATCAAAACTTCAGCAAAATATGAGATGATGAGAATATTTTATTTTATCAAATGTTCAACGGAGACATTTAAACAAACAAAAGTTATCAAGAGACCATAATAGTACATACGTAAATCATTTTGAAATTTTTTAAACGTTGACTATAACACATTTCAAAGAAATATAATTAACGAAAATTTGAAAATCACAAAGAGAATTATAAATTAATTAATTCAAGATTTTTTAATTACATTAACTGTATAATTGGAACCAAAGTTAATCTTGAAAATAATTTTTTAAAATGAACTGTGACGTTATATCAATTTTTTGTTTTATAGTGATGATGATGATGATAACAACAACAACAACAAAAACAACAACAACAATACACCACAGTTTTGTAGCCACTGAATTATGGAGCCACTGGTGAAGTGGTGATACCACTACCTTTTTTGGAGTGCTTATAATACTCCATTTGCAGAATTAATGGTTTCTAGCCCTAACCCTCCCCCTCAAAATCCCAATGGAAATTATAATTTAATTAATTTAAGATTTTTGTAATTACATTGACTCTATAATGGTAACTAAAATTTATTTTGAAATTAGTTTTTTTAATTAAATTGTTACGTTATATCAGTTTTTTATGTTATAGTGATGATGGTGATGATGATGATAATAATAATAATAGTAATAATAATAATAATACACTACAGTTCCGTAGTCACTGGATTACGGAGCCACTCGTGATATCGCTGCTCTTTTGGAGTGCGTGTAGTACTCCATTTGCAGAATTAATGGTTCCTAGCCCTATCCCTCCACCTGGACTCCCCACCCCAACAATCCATGCCCCCTCTAAATGTGTTGTTACTAGAAGTTAGAAGAAATTTGAAGAAAATGAAAAGAGTTGGAAGTGGCAAATTAGAAAAACTGAAAATAGTTAAAAACTAGGAGAGTTGGAAAAGAATAAAAAGAATTATAAATTAGCTAATTCAAGATTTTTGTAATTACATTGACTCTATAATGGTAACTAAAATTTATCTTGGAAATAATTGTTTTAAATAAATTGTGACGTTATATCAATCCTTTATATTATAGTGATAATAAAAATAATAACAACAACAATAATAATAACAATAACAACAACAGAGCCGAGTTTCCTTCCCTATCATTAGGGCCTGCGTTTCCTTCCCTATCATTAGGGTTTATGGCCAAATCCAAGATCCTGCACAGATTTCATTACCTTCCGTTCTTTAATTCTTTTCTTTGTGGGTTTGCGGCGACAGATTTGTAGTAGTGGTGGAGCTTGTCCGATTTCTGTACCTCTCCAATTGCGTCGTAATGAATAATCAAGGATTGCATGGTATCCAAGCCGATCTGGATTAATTAGATCTAAATGATGAGGAGATTGGGATCTCGATTGGATCGGACGGGGACCTGGTTCTACAAGAGGTTCGGGACGAATCATTTACCTTGGTTGGAAGACTTTTGACGGACAATGTAACACCCCAATCCGTCCAGGTCTGCAGCCCCATTCGGACTAAAGTATTTAACTTGGTAATCGTAAAATTTAAAACTTTTCAAACACACTTTATTAATCTCAATAATATTTTTCATAACATATACAGTACGGAGTATTTAACAATATTGCGGAAGCGAATTTAATATTGACATATCATAAATCATTTCAAAACTTGTCACATCCATCCCGACAATCTCGCCCCATCTGCCGCCAGGATCACATTAATCTTTCTGTTTACCTGCGTGTAGCAAATAAAACACACTACACGCTCAGCGGTGAAGCTGAGTAAGCATATCTAAGGCATCGAACATCCACATAAATTGAATCGCAATTCATAATCAACCATTTGATATCATGCACACAATATATGGTTCAAACATTCATAATATTTTCCATATTTTATTCCAAGTCATTTGATATTCAATATATCAATAATGCTCTTAAATTATTTTTAATCTAAGGCCAAATCATTTCATAACAACTCTTAACTATTCCTAGTCTAAGGCAACATTTCTAACCAGACCCTTAAACTATAAATAGTTTAATGCAGAACACAAGAATCGATAATCCACCCTATGAGTCATGTGGATTACGTACCAACCGAACAGTGAACTGCCGGGTGGGTGATATCCGTTTTCAATCCCGTACGTACGTTTTAACCCCGAAATATGAATTGGTCAAGGAGGTATATCTTAGAGTTCTTC